CCTGCGGGCGGGCGGCCCCGCTGTCGGCTCGCCGGCCTGCGCTCGAGATGGCGGCCGGCGCCAAGGCGGGCAGCCAGCCCCCGGCTGGCGAAGGACGGGACAAGGGAAATCGCAAGGTGATGCCGCAGGGAGGCCAGTCTGCGGAGGCGTGGCCCGGGGTTTCGCCCGGCCTCCATCCGCAGGCTCATAGTCGTCGCGATGGTTGCGTTGCCCAGGCGTCCCCCGGCTTTGCCTCCGCCCATCAGACGGCGCGCAGACGTGGACGCGTTGGCACTCTACGTCGCCTGCGCGCTGGTCGGTGGGACACCTACCATTGGAGAGGGCCCAATGGACATCCTCAGGCCACCCCTGGACGCCGAGAGGGTGGAGGATGCTTGCGAACGAGGGCACTGCGAAAGTACCGTGCGTTACTGATCAGTAGCAGCTCCAGCGGCACACCCGCAGAGGTCGCCCGTGAAAACGACCACTGGTCGCGCTGCCCAGGCAAAGGCGCAGCTATAGATGCCGCTGCATTCGGGAACGGCCGCCAGAGACCCGAGTTACGGCCAGGAAACAAAACGCATTCGGAGGAGGGCTGGTGTCGTGAGTCAGTGTGGATCCGAGGTCACCGCGCGGCTTGGGGGGCTTGGGGCGTTCTCCGAGGACGTCTCGGACGACCGGGGCCTCCAGGGCCCCGAGAACCGTGCGGTGGCGGACCCTGTGGTGAGGTCTTTCGAGATATCGACCTCACCCCAAGGGCTGTCACCGCAGGGTTTTGGGACCCCCAAAAAGCCACCTTCCCTTGCCCTGTGGAAGGTTGGCGGAAGCTGGCGGAGGGAAAAAGACGAGGTCGCCGGTAGCGGCGGAACCTGGCGGACATAAGGGACGACCCTCCAAGAAATACGCGTTGGGGGATTATTTGATGAGCTGGGCAATTGATCCTCAGACCTCCATGGTCTGCGAGCACGCGGGCAGTGCTGCGGAAGGCGCGGGGGGGGGGGGGAGCCGAAGGCCTGTTCTTCACCTTGTTGAGTGGCCTTTTACGCAAGATCTTGCCTTGCCAATCTCTGAAACCAACGCATCCTCGCGCAATCTCCACTGCATCCTTTGGAGAAGGCGAGAAAATCATCCAGTGTATCATTCTCTGGTTATCCCCTTCCCCCCATCATCCTCCATGCCTGAACGCCTTCGAAAAGGACGAGGGGAAACTTGAGGAAAGGCGATGGGTGGAGAAGGGGGAGGAGATGCAGGAGGAGGGGGAGGAGGTGAAGGAGGAGGAGGAGGAGGAGCAGGAGGACGAGATGGCAGAAGAGGAGCAAGAGGATCGCAGCTGCACCAGCCTTTACAGCGCAAATTGCTTTGTTTGTTGGTCGGTGAAATGAGCTTATTATCCGCCTGATGTGACGGGTATTTCTTTTCCTGGGTGCGGCACCAACGGAATGCACGAGGTAAAGGAGGTGGAGGAGGTAGAGGGAAAGGAGGAGAAACACCAGCAGCCACAGGAGAAGAGGAGGGCGGTGTTGAGGAAGAGGAGTTACAGAGTTAGGGATTCTGCGACGTGAATAGGTCGGTTACGGTATAAGTCACATCGCCTCTCGTCAGGTTTTCTCGATGTGTTCTAAGCCTTAGGCCAGACCCCCTTGCGAATCTGGAAAAAGGTAATCGTCACAACTACCCGCCAGTCGTTGAAAGTATGTATTTCTTGATATCCAGGTCCCAGGCTACTTTGGTCGCCGTCATGCTTCAAACATCCAGCGGTTTTCCCTCTTCCTTCCTTCTCTTCGAGGGGAGGGTGGAGACCCAATCTACTTCCAACGCCTTCCTACTTCATGCTTCCACCCACTTCTTCCCACCGACGGGTACCCTCTGGTCGACGTGGACACGGATCTCCGAGCTTGGCCGGGTATTGAGCCGCGAAGGATCCGCATGAACCACAAAGCTAAATTCCCTGCCCGGCGTCGAATTCAAAAGATGATGGGGTACAGTCGGACCGAGGTAGAAGATCGAGGTCGGCTCGGGGAAGGTACCCTCGTGCTGTTCGCGCCTGTCGGATGTTCTTGTGCATCCTGGGGAGGCTACCCTTGCATGTTCTGCTGTTCTGTCCGGCGGAGGGCCTCGTGTTCTCGAGGGGTGCTCCTCTGGCCCAGGTCCGCCTGCACTGCGATCCCGTGCCCAGCGTGACGTTTCAAGACCGATGGGCTCTACCCGCCCCCCGGCCCCGCAGAGAGTGCACCCCGCGGACGCTCCACGGGAGCGGCGCGGGCACAGTGCCGTCCACCGTCCTCGGGCCAGGGCGCGGGGGGGTCCAGTCGGGGCTGGCGTCCCGCCCTGCAGCCGGACCGACTGGATGCTCCTGCGCATCCTGGGGGAGGGCACCCGGGAAGGTCCTTCAGTCTGGCCGGCGGAGGGTCTCGTGTTCTTGGACAAAGTCAGGTTGGCCCCTGGCCGACTGTTTTCGAAGAACTGTGGCAGTGCAGGCGCGAGAGATCGTTTCAAACGGAAGAGAAAGCTTTACAGACCGAAGGCGCGGGAGGCCTGGGACCAGGGTGCTCGACACAGACCCCTCGGAGACGAGCAGGGACTTCTTCAGCTTGCAACGTCTCGAGCGTGCTGAGCAAAATACGCAGGCGGACGTCGTAAGCCATCTTCGCAAGCTCAACCACGCGCCCTATCTGCAGAAGAGACGCGAGCTGTTTTTTGCTGCGACTCCTGCTGCGTGATCGCTTGCCGTGTTGCCGACGGCCAACAACAGCGGAGATTTGCCTTGCCTGGCATCCTCAGCCTCCTGATGCGAGTGAACAAACAAACCGGTGAACTGGAGGTTAGTTATGCGACGCAAGACCTGACCGATCTTGAACCACACTTCGGCGTTGTCTCTCGGACACGAGCGCGCGCCCACAAAACCAGCCTGGGCAGGCGTTGGCGTCCCCCTGATCTGGGAACCACAGCCCGCGCCCGAGATATCAAGCCTCGCGTCCAACAACAATGGCTTGTCTACGGCTTAATTCGTACAGGGATTCCGCACGCGGAGCGCACTCATAAGATACTTGATAAATATATATACACACATATGTATGCGTATCTATACGTATATACATATATATATATAGCGTGATTGACATGCTTGGAGCAAGCCCAACAACGATGAAAAGACGTGTGGTTCTCAGTGCGGCACTTCTCACACACACACAGGTGACATAGCCGACTTGGCCCTGGCAGGTCGCCGCTCCCGTGGCGACGCAGCCCATGCGGCAGCTGCCAGCATGATGCCTGCCAACTTTTTGCCGTTGGGCCCCTCCTCGAGCTGCCTCAACCTCACCCTGTACGAGTAGTTACGCACTCCCTGCTGGACTCCGCCTCCGTCGACGTGTTCCGCTGCCTCACGCCAGAGCCGCTTCATGACCGAGCCCTCATGCTTCTGAAAGATCTCGTGGTGTTGTGGGATCACGCGTCGCTCCGCCAGTTCTGGCCCACCACGCCGCGGCGCCACACGCTATCCACACCCCAGTCCCCCCGCGTCCGCGCGCCGAGCTCCTCCGGGCTTCCCGCCCCGCGCAGCGCAGCGGCGCCCTCCGCTCGCCAAGCGTGGCGTGTCGCGGGGGCCGTCGCCGCGACAGGGTGAGCGAAAGCTCCCGACCGCAGGGCGGGTACAGGGCCGATGGGGGGACGCATCGACCCCCAGTCGCCCATTGAGCACCGCTACAGTGGAGGCCAGTCCACAAGACACCTTCTGCAAGAAGCCCAACCCCGAGGCCCCAGGACGTCCATGGATTCGTGGCGTGGGAGCGCCGCGCTCCCTACAGCAAAGCCATGGAAGCCCAAGAAACCCAGGGCACCCTGGAGGCGAGCAAGGTGTCTCTTGGCATGGGTCTCCAGTGTAAGGGGCCCGAGAACCCGACCCCCCCTTCCACATGCGGATTCGCGATCGGGGGCCCATCGCCGATGCATCGGCGATGCGTCGCTGATTCCAGGTCGATGTTTCCCCTCCTGAGCCCGTCCCCCCTCCCGGTTGTGTTTTTTTGTGGGTCTTTTGTTGTTCGTTTCCCCACGGGCGTCGAGGAGGAGGGTACGGAGGAGGGTGACAGCGGAGAAGACGGGCACAAGGGGGACGGGCAGAAGCACGAGCACGGTGAGGAGGAGGGGGCGGAGAAGGAGGAGGAGGAGGAGGACGACGACGAGGAAGAGGAGGAGGGGGAGGAGGAGGAGGAGGAGGAGGAGGAGCCGTAGCCATTTTGGCTCAAGCCGCCCACCAGCGGGCGAAACCCACGTTGTTCAAGCTTGGCATGTGCAAGAGCTTCGATGCGGCAAAAGCTTGGGCGCGTCGCTCTGCTGCCGCGCTGTTTCGTCGTCTCCGCCGAGAGCGGGCTGCGGGTACGGACAGCAGACGCGCCGCTGATGCCGCCGACGGAGCTCTTCTTCAGATGGAGGTCCCGCTTGAGGTCGAGGAGGAGCTCAAGCAGAGGGTGGTTGCGGTGGGGAAGGCGCTCCTCTTGCACTGGAGGGCTGATGGCGTTCTTGGGACGCACCGACACCGGCTCGGTGACGCTCTTCGAGCTCTGCATGCAGCTTTTGGCCTGTCGGAGGAGAGCTTCGACACATTCAAACAGATCAAGAAGCAAGGCGAACTGGCTCGGCATCTTCCGCTCCACATTGCTGCGCCTGGCGACGTGGACAGCTCGGAGAAGATCAGCGTCGCGGGGGAGGACCTGGGTGCCACGGCTCCTTCCTTCGTCCCGGGTGCCGGGTGTTGGCTGTCGTTCCCACCGCTGGTGGGCATGCGGTGCACGTGCGGCGCCGTCGTGTGCTCGACCCTGGACGTGGAGCCACCGCAGTTCGCCTCTTTCAGGATCACCTCCCAGCCGTCGGAAGCATGCCGCAGTGCAGCTCGGGCCCCCACTGGGGATCACTGCCCTGCCGCCGCTGTCGCGCCGCCGTGGTCGCAGATGGGGCTGTGCGGGTGGGCGACGGTGCTGACGGTGATGATATGAGTACGAAGGCGGCCGACGCCGACGCCGATTTCTATGCGGCCGTGGAGGAGCAGCGGCGGTCTTGGCTGGACACCCGCGGTGGTGCTCAGCCGTTTGTGCGGCTGCGCGATCGCGTCGATTGTGCCCTGGGCGCCCAAGAGCCTGAGGTCAGACTACGCGATGGTGAACACCGTGTACCTTCCCCGTTCAGGTTCGTTGGTACCGATACGAGCCCTCGGTTCTCAAGGAGGCTGGCGGGTTTGCCAGACAGCAGGAATCGTCGCCTGTTTCTGGATGCTCGCGGCCGTCTTCGTGTGCGAGACCGAGGAGTTCGGCCTGGTGCTCCCAGCCCTGGCATTGGACCCCCGCAGGAGGCGGAATGCCAGCATCAGTGACGGCTTTTGATGCTCTCTCTTCCCCTGTATGTTGTTGTGATTGGATCGTGTTTACACTTCAGCCTCGGATTGTTGTTTGCAGCATGGGTTGGTATATTGCTGTATGTGGCTGCCTGGTATACCTCAGAGTTATTGAATGTGGCTTCCTGGCGATATGATTTATCATTTGCGCGTTGCTGCAACATTATGTCGTTCCTTACTAACTTTTTTCGTCGCAGCTATATCCCTCCAAGGGCGCAGGCACCGATTTCGTTCGTCTTCCGGTTGAGCACAGGCGTGTTTCCAGGCAAGCATTGTTCACCACAGTCCGGAACAGCGAACTGTAAGCACTCCAGCTATTGAGAGTCTCTACACCTCGCCCTCCCCCTCCCCAGTATCAGAATGCATGAGCAGTCATAGCTTGCATTGCGTCTAAGGAAAGGTTGGGGGGCAGGGGGGGGGGGTGCGACGACGCGAGCCGAGGCGGCACTGCGAATCCAGCCCGCTGCGACGCCTCAGGCCACAGGCTCAGGGCAGATCGCGTTCAAGGTTCTGTGCCTCCTACTGTTTGTGAATGGTCTTGGACCAAGCTAGTGAACCAGTGAACCAGAGGAGGAGGAAGAGGAGGAGGAGGAGGAGGAGGAGGAGGAGGACGAGGACGAGGAGGAGGAGGAGGA